AACTAGCAAAGGATACTTAGAAGTAACAGCCACTAAGTTGTAAGTTGGCCCTCTTTCATCAAGAGAGTAGTTTTTTTCTGGAATCCAGGTGGAAGGAGTTTCTGGGAGAGAGCCATCANGTCGTCAGTGTTCTTCATACTGTAGGTTGAGATCAGCCTTCTCTTATGCCCTCACCCCCCTGCAAAAAAGAGACTGGAATAGAAAAATCAAAGTGTTTCAGAGTGGTAAGGACAAACATCACTTCAGGAAATTTTTTTCATCATATGTACATATATGTATCTGTATACTGAGTCAACAAATATATTTCTCTGTAGGTAATAGTAAAAAAAAGTTTGAAAGCTTTTACTATATTTCATCAGGAAGACCTTAGGTAGACCTATACTTACAGATAAAATTGGTTCATTTGTTCACCCAGCAAATATTATATTCCCACAAGTGTTGATACTAAGTTTTGTATTTTTATTTCTCAGAAGTTTAGTATTTGTGATTTATGAAATAAGTATGTTATTGTACTCCCAGCAGGTTCTTGCCAGCGTGGGCTTCTTTAGTTCTTATTGTGGGTTCTTCGTACTCACTTGTTATTGTTCATAGCAAGACCCTTTCCAGTTTCCATTTGTGGTCTTAAGTTAGTCCTCCGGGCTTTGGCTCCTTTAGGGTCTGTCAGTTGCTGCCTCCACTTTCCTTCTCTTGTCCTCACAGACACCTACAACACATAGGCCTTGTGGCTGTTGGTGAGTTGTCCCCATCTGCTTGTATTTTGGGGTTTGTGGTGATACCATTTCACCTAGTTTTGTTGACAGATGTTGTCATGGGATTTTGGTTTTTCTGTGTAGTTGCTCTATTTTTATATGGGAATTTGCCAGACTTCCCTAGACCAACTTATCCTAGTAACACAAGTAGGGTGTTCTGATTAAAATTGACTATTTGAGTAATTGGTTAGCTAGTGATTCCTTTGGAAGTCTATTTGTACCAGTTGATAACCAGACTGTATGGGGAGGGAAAGAAAAGGAGGAAGGGGTTTTGAGCCAAATGAAACATTTGAAAATGAAATGCCACTGCAGTTCTGTTTTTTCCTCTATTCAAACTTGGTCAAATTTCCCCCCACGAGGGAAAAAA